TATTCTCATTAATCTTAATTTTCTTGGTTCTATGCCATCGCTTCCAGCCTCTGAGGATAGATTTGCATCCTAATCACAACATTCTAAAGATCCCTTGCAGCCTCCTGCTACCTCTAAAGATGATAACCCAAACACTAATAAGGTGTTGAATAGAGCAGAACTGGGCCCTGTGCTGACAATAGGCAGTGAAGGCTCACAGCATACACTAAAAGGGAAGAAGATATTTGGTAAGCGAATATGTGAACAGCTTCCTTCCGGGCAAGCCTGGTCAGTCAACCGTGAGAAGAACCGTCCCTCATTCAGTGAGATCTCAGTTTTAAATATTTGTGCAAATAAAATGAGGTCTTAAGAACAGGCCCAAAACTCGTATTTGAGCTTTTCTGATCGGGGAGCAACACCTTCGTTTTATATAATCTTTTTAGTGAACCTACCTTGTGACTGCGATCTGCTGTGTGAGGCTAAGTGTGAAATTTCCCACCTGTGCTGCATGGCTGCCCACAGACTTGAGGATTTGTGGTGCATTTTGTGTTTCGGGTTTGCAGTTTTGGGTTGCTGAACCTGCCCTAACCAGGATGAGCCATCTACATTTCTTCCTCTTATTTCTGCAAGCCAGGGGCACCCAGCTCACTCACACTGAGAATGTCAGGATTGGGAAGAAACAGCATCTCCACTTATTCCTTACTTGAAGTGCATTTTTAAAGATCATGCATGTCTAATTCTAGAAGTGCCCCCTATTGTGAGCCGCCAGTTGCTGTTTACAGATCAGTGGCCGTCTATGCTCACATCTCCGGCACAGAACGATCTTACTATTCTGCCACTTCAGGACAGGAGAAAAAGATGGAACCAAACTTGAGCACGGACATGATGACTGAGTCCTGTATGGAATGAATAATAATAGCCTAAAGGCATGTCCAGCCTGCAGACCACAGGTGCCGCCTGTAACTATGGATGTGGCTAGTGCAAAATTATAAACTTACTTAAAGGATCATCAGTGGCATGGCATGGTGCCCCCTAGTGGTTTAGTGAAAGTCCAGCAGGATCCAGTACTGCTTTGTGAAAGATGCAGAGAGCAGCAATAGTTAGTAGGACAGAGAAAGGAGTCATCACCTCCAACTGGTCCTGTCTTCCACGATGCATAATAAACACTCCCACATTTAAGAGAATGTCAAGAGAGGTAGCGACTTGGGAGCCTTGGTCAGGAAGATCTCTGGAGCCCAGACAACATAGCAAGACCCCTCTCCTGTTACAAACTATTATTCTAGGCAGAAAGAGGGCTCCGTGGGAAAAGGCATTGCCACCCAGCCTGACAACCTGAGTTCAGTTCTCCAAGACCCACACGATGGAACAAGAGAAGCAGCTCCACACTGTTGTTGTGGGAGTGCCACATGCATGTTGTGGCACATGTGCCCAATAATGATGATAATGTATTAATTATACATTTTTAAAGTATGGACAATTAGGATGGTGGTTGGAGATTTGTGTCAGCTCAGCCTGAGACACTCCTGCCTCTTCATGTTTTGTTCCATCCTTGTTTCATCAAAGCCACTCTCTAGCAAAGGTGCTACTGCTCACCTTTGATACTTTTTCAGAATAAATTTGAATTTTTTTTTTTTTGGTCAGCATTGATATTGATATATGATGCCAGTAGTTAGAGCTGAGTGATATAATACTTGCCCAGCATTTACAAGATGCTGGGTTTGATCCTTGGTACTAAAAATAAATATAGAGAGTTGTTATATCTTGTTAGTTCATTAGCAGAAGCTCAGCCTAGATAGTGTTCAGGGCTGAAGGGCCAGCCAGAATCTATCAAACAGGTAGTATAAATAAAGTCCTGTGCCTCTGAGAAGCATTTCAGCCTCCATAGGAGCTTGCTGGGTTTGCATACTACAGTCATATGCTCAGGCAGTTTTCTGTTTGCCTGTTGCTAATGGCTCTTCCTGAATGAGTTTGACATTTTACTTGGCTTTGAAAGGACTTTCATGCCCCCTGCGTTTTCTTCCCTCGAGCTGCCTTGAGCTAATTAACCTATTCCCTCACTGGCTGGAACTACTACTATATGCAAATGCTCTCATTTCCAAGTCTGACATATCACTCTTGCATGAACATCCCTGATGAAATCCTGCGGCGTTTTATGGGGCAGTGCACCTGTGCCACCAGCAGGGGCCGCATGGAACTGTTCTCTGAGTAGACCTTGGCAGTGATTCAGTTCCTTGCCAGCTGGTATAAGAAACTAGGTGCTGGGCTGGAAAGATAGCTCAGCGGCCAAGAGTGCTGGTTGCTCTTCACCGAGGACACAGGTTCAAGTCACGGCACCTGTGTGGTCACGTCCTCCTATAACTCCAGTTTCTGATTTCCTCTTATGACCTCTGTGGATAATAGACATAAATGAAAGCTAAACTTTTACACACACACACACACACACACACACACACACACACACAATAAACAAACCTCTTTTTTAAGTTAGAACTTAGCAATCCTTCTTAAGGGTGATTCTCGGAGTCTAAAGATAAAAGTTTGACACCTATACTTTTTCAGACAGCAAAAGGAAACAACACTTTTGATACTTTGGGGATTTGATTTTAGTCTGTCCTCGCAATGGATTTCTAAGCACTGGGTATAAATGACGCTCTGCACTCTTAAGAGGAGAGAGTCCTACAGAATGAAGTTATTTGAAACACAATTCCTTATACACTTGGGGCTTTTCTGCATCTTCAAGTATACGTTATTTTTAATTTCTTCAGCATTATAGATCTTGCTGTTGCTTCAGCATGGACACAGCCTGAATTGCTGAAGACAGCCCTTACAGTATCAGTTTGGTTTTTAACATGGGAGGGGCTTAGAGTTTTTGCTGTGGGTTGATTTTTTTGTTTGTTTGCCTGCTTGCTTGTTTCACGACAACAATCTCCTTTTAGACAGGGCCTTTCTTTGTAGCACAAGCTGGTCTGGAACTTACTATAGCCCACGATGGTCTACAATGTCCCAATCTTCCTGTCCCAGCCTTCCAAGGGCTGAGATTACAGACATTCGTGACCACACTCAGTTTGGGGAGGTCTGTTCTAAAGTCAGATCACAGGAAGAAGACTCTGAGGATGAAATACATTCAGGTCCCAACCGCAGAATCAGAGCCTTTGATGTTGCTTCCCTCTGCAGCGTCTCCCTGTGGGCAGCGCTCACAGCTCCTGCTGCCAGCATGCTTCGAGTTGGTCTTCTTGAGAGTCCCCCTCATGCCAGATGGACAGTGTTCACACAATGGTGGTGACTCAGACTTCAGTGTCTGTGAGACTGGGCCAGAGATGACTCCAGAAGAGTTCCTTGCATCACTAGATGGCTGGGTTTCCACACGTGGCTATGATTTGTCTGGCAAATATTTCATCTCCTGCTTACAGCTAGCAGGCCCCTTGCCAGGGAGAAGAGGAGGAGATGGTAGGGAGAGAATATTCATAGACTAAACCTGGAAGGGAAGAGACATGGATGAAGCAAGTGCCTGACTTTTATTAAGGAAGCTTCCGTAGTCTTGGCTTTATTTCATTTACATATTCATGTATTTATTTATCTGTTATTTTTAGGAGACAGCATTTTATACTGTAGCCCAGGAAAGCCTAAACTTTGAGGTCATTCTCCTCAAGCACTGGGATTACAAGCATGAGCCACCATGTCAGGCTTAATCTTACATATTGTGTGTTTTTGTTTTTGCTTTTGTTTTAACTGGAATAGTTTTTGTAATTATCTTACAGATGTCTTAGTGTTTCCCCGTAAATGACTGTGCTTGGAATTCTCTTGAGACTTATAGTGAGAAGACTTACTTTGGGCTGTTGTTGCTTAATTATGGCACATTGGTGTCTGTGTGGAAGGCACGCTTAGGAAAAGGGGCACCACCATAGATTACATAGAGCCCTGACGCCAGGTGAAATCTTAATAGCATTGCTTCTGGCATCTGAAGATGAAGAAACAGCCTGAAGAATAATTGGGCATCTCTTTTCCAAAGCTGCTCCTTCCCAAAGCCCAGCTCTTGGGATCTCATTTGACTAAGCTAAGGTTGCCCAGATAAAGATGTGGCAAGGAGTGGCACCAACCTTTCTATGAAAAAAAAAAAAAAATTACAAAATGAATCATCTACCCTCCTTCCCCCACAAAAAAAAAAAAAAAAAAAAAAGACACCCACACACCAAAGGCCGCAGACAAGGAGAGGCCAACACTTATAAAAAAAAAAAAAAAAAAATAAAAAAAGGAATCATCTCCCCCCCTCCCCCCACAAAAAAAAAAAAAAAAAAGGCAGAGTCCCACACACCTGTGGCCTCAGACCTTGAGAGGCTGAGGCAGGAGGATCGTGAAATCAAAGCCAGCCTTTGTTACACAGCCAATCTGAAGCCAGTCTGAGCAACAAAGAGACCCTTATGAAAAAGAAAAAGAAAAACTGAGCATCTACCCTCCAAGAAGAAAAGAAAGGGGAGGAGAAGGACAGAGGGTGTAGGGAAATGTTTGAGTTGCCTACCTCTTTTATTGAGAAAGTACATCTGGGATGGAGCGACGGATGGTGGTCAAAACAGCTGTACAACTGCCCTTGTAAGGGACCAAGGTTCAGGTCCCAGCACCCACAATATGGTTCACAACTGCCTATAACCACAGTGCCAGGAGATCCAGTGCCCTTTTCTGGTCTCTTTGGGAGCTGCCACATACATGGCGTGCATAAACTCTCACAGGCACTCACATACAAATAAATCGACCTTAAGCCAGTAAGCAAATGTTTAAGAAAAGTATACCCTTAAGCTTACTCTCTTTATTCTTACCGGCTCATTAGCCCAGGTAGCATTTTATCTATTTTAACACAGACCATAATCTGCTTTAGGGATTCCACCTGAATCCAGGGCCTCCTCTTGATCTTGTTGGTAGTGATGTTTTTGTTGGTTGGTGGGTCTGTTGGTTGTTTTGGCTTGGTGGGGTTTCTCCCCCTGTGCTGATGTTTTGTTTTTCTTCTCCTGCTCTCTCCCCCTTCTCAGAATCCGGAGCTGCTACTGCTGGCCTAGCGAACCCACGGGGAGATGATTCCTCATGAAGGGCCTGGATCCCCTACAGAAATCCAATGTGACTCTCTGTTTATCAGACTAAAATCAGAGCCAGCCAGACAGTGAAACAGCCACCGTGGAGGGGGGACGGCGAAAAATGAAATCCAACCAAGAGCGGAGCAATGAATGCCTGCCTCCCAAGAAACGTGAGATCCCCGCCACCAGCCGGCCCTCTGAGGAGAAGGCCACTGCTCTGCCCAGCGACAACCACTGCGTGGAGGGTGTGGCATGGCTCCCCAGCACTCCTGGCAGCCGGGGCCACGGGGGCGGGCGGCATGGGCCAGCAGGGACTTCCGGGGAGCTGGGTTTACAAGGAATGGGTTTACATAAAGCATTGTCCACAGGGCTGGACTACTCTCCGCCCAGCGCCCCCAGGTCGGTCCCCGCAGCCACCACGCTGCCCACGGCGTACCCTCCTCCTCAGTCAGGGACGCCGGTGTCTCCCGTGCCGTATGCCCACCTTTCACACACCTTCCAGTTCATCGGGTCCTCCCAGTACAGTGGACCCTACGCTGGCTTTATCCCTTCCCAGCTGATCTCCCCATCAGGCAACCCGGTCACCAGCGCGGTGGCCTCAGCTGCAGGGGCCACCACTCCATCACAGCGCTCCCAACTGGAGGCCTATTCCACCCTGCTGGCCAACATGGGCAGTCTGAACCAGGCACCAGGACATAAGGTTGAGCCCCCAGTGCAGCAGCACCTCAGCAGGGCTGCGGGCCTCGTCACCCCGGGCTCCCCTCCACCCACCCAGCAGAGCCAGTACATTCACATTTCCAGCTCTCCACAGAGCTCCGGGCGGGCAGCATCTCCTCCACCCATCCCGGTCCACCTCCATCCCCATCAGACGATGATCCCGCACACGCTCACCCTGGGGCCCTCATCCCAGGTGGTCGTGCAGTACAGCGACGCTGGAGGCCACTTCGTTCCTCGAGAGTCCACCAAAAAAGCAGAAAGCAGCCGCTTACAGCAGGCTATGCAGGCCAAGGAGGTCCTGAACGGGGAGATGGAGAAGAGCCGGAGGTATGGGGCACCGCCCTCTGTGGAGCTGAGCCTGGGGAAGGCAAGCAGCAAGTCAGTGCCTCATCCTTATGAGTCCAGGCATGTGGTGGTCCACCCAAGCCCAGCAGACTACAGCAGCCGTGACACCCCCGGGGTCCGTGGATCTGTGATGGTCCTGCCGAACAGCAGCACCCCCTCGGCCGACCTGGAGGCACAGCAGGGCACCCACCGAGAGGCCTCCCCATCAACCCTCAATGACAAGAGCGGCCTGCACCTAGGGAAGCCGGGCCACAGGTCCTACGCGCTGTCCCCCCACACGGTCATTCAGACCACACACAGTGCATCAGAGCCCCTCCCGGTGGGCCTACCAGCCACAGCCTTCTATGCTGGGACTCAGCCTCCCGTCATCGGCTACCTGAGTGGCCAGCAGCAAGCAATCACCTATGCTGGCAGTCTGCCCCAGCACCTGGTGATCCCAGGCACCCAGCCTCTGCTCATCCCCGTGGGCAGCCCTGACATGGACACCCCTGGGGCAGCCTCAGCCATCGTCACATCATCACCCCAGTTCGCTGCAGTGCCTCACACGTTTGTCACCACCGCCCTGCCCAAGAGCGAGAACTTCAACCCCGAGGCCCTGGTTACCCAGGCCGCCTACCCAGCCATGGTGCAGGCCCAGATCCACCTGCCGGTGGTGCAGTCAGTGGCGTCCCCTGCGGCGGCGCCACCCACGCTGCCGCCATATTTCATGAAAGGCTCCATCATCCAGCTGGCCAACGGGGAGCTGAAGAAGGTGGAGGACCTGAAGACGGAGGATTTCATCCAGAGTGCAGAGATTAGCAGCGACCTCAAGATCGACTCCAGCACGGTGGAGAGGATCGAGGAGAGCCACAGCCCCGGTGTGGCCGTGATACAGTTTGCTGTTGGAGAACACCGGGCTCAGGTAACCCCCGCCAGGGTTATCTAGGTAGGGAGACCCCACACCCTTCTTCTGTCATTTCCTGGCAAGGTGATTGCTTCAGGCAGGTAGGGTTTTCATTGTCACCCAGTGAGAGAGAGAGACTGAGACCCTTCCGTGATGAAGAAGAGCTCCCTTTCACAGATGGTATGGTAGCTCCTGAAGAGGTGTCAGGAGGTGAAGTTCTTGTTCTAGGTTTGGGGTTATATGAGGAGGGAGTGGAAGGGCCGTTTAATACCGTGAGATCTAGACTACGGGCCAGAACTCACAAATTAGGAAAACACAGCTACCCAGTATGTCCTTGACCTCACAGTAGCTGAAGATGCTCTGATCCTCTGATCCTCCTGCCTCCATCTCCAGAATTACGGGATTACAGGCGTGTGCTGCCATGCCCGGTTTATTCAGTGTTGGGAATCGAACCCAGGGCCTCACGCAGGCTAGGCAAGCACTCTACCACTGAGCTACCTCCCCAGCCCAGTTTTTAAATTATATTTTCTCTGAGCAGCAGCTTTCAGTTTGGGAATAAATTCAGCCACTGTAGCCTAGGGATTTGCACATCCAGGCCTAAGCAGACCAACAAGCCCAAGAGGTAAGAAAACCCCACAGTTCTCTTCAGCCTGCATGGGCAGCAATCTCTGTGTGTTTGCCCCTACTCAGAATGTCACAAAATAAATGTGCAAACCATGAAGAGATTGGCTTCCCTGTGAGGTCAGACCCCACTTCCTCACTTCCTCTGTAGCCTGACAGCCGGGCTTTCAGCAGCATGATGAACAGAGAGAACTAATGTTTTTCTCCTGTGACGGGAAGTGCTATTGCAAAGTCACACGGAGAGGCCTGTGGCTAAAGAGACTGCTCGGGTTTGGGGCCACAGAAATAAAAGGAAGCCTGTCAGAGATCAGCTGACGTCATCACAGCTGAAATGCGTGCACCACAAGCAGTGCCTGCACAAGTGGCAGATTTGGAATCCTAGAGCCAGAAGAGGAGAGAGAGAGCGAGCAAAGGGGCCTGGTAAGGGAGAGAGAATGACAACAGGCGTGACTGAGCTTGCAAGGGCTGCCCTCCATCTCCGGTATCCTGGAGGAACTTTCTCCCTAGCTTGAGAAGATGCCCAGGCCTCTGCAACTAGTTAGATACAGCTCACACCGGCACACACAGGGAACTGGAGAAATAAGCAAATTGTTGGAGTTCCAAAACAAAAACCAGTTATGGAACTTGTGGAAGAAAGATGGTTTTCTCTGGGACAGAAATAGCTTTGGGACCCTGGACATAAACCCTGCATGGTCAGAGATCTGAAAGGATGGCCAGCTTCAGACAACCTCCATGGTCCTTCCCAGAGAGCACTGTAGGGTGGTGGGGAGAGGTAGAAGACCAGCTGTGCATTTGTGTGTGGCAAGGGACTTTTCCCATCACCCCCCTGCCCCCAGCCATTGCTCTCTCTTCTCTAAAACAGGCTAACCTAAGGATGCTACAAAAAGACAATCTTTTGAGATTGTAGGATTTTGTTTTGTTTGTCATTGTTGTTTGGGGTTTTTCAATTGTGTGTGTATCTGTGTGTGTGTCTGTCTGTGTTTATCCGTGGTCTGCATGTCTGCCTATGAGGGGTGTGTGTGTGTGTGTGAGAGAGAGAGAGAGAGAGAGAGAGAGCATAGATCCTTGTGTGTCACCAGGCAGGAGCTAAACTATTAAAGCTTTCTCCCCTTCATCCTCCTCAGCTATTTATTTTGTTTTTGTTTTGAGCCTTTGCTTTTCTGTCTTCCAGAACAAACTTGGTTGTTTTATCTATCTATCTATCTATCTATCTATCTATCTATCTATCTATCCGCTTTACATTCCAAGTATAGCCCTCTCCCTCTGCTTGGTTGTTTTTATTTGCTTAAGTAACCAAAAGTTAAAAGTATATTCAGGGGAGCTCCTACCTACTTCCATCTAACTGGCACATGGATACAGTAGGAACTGAGGCAGGAATCTATGGTGGTGATATTGTGTGTGTGTGTGTGTGTGTGTGTGTGTGTGTGTGTGTGTGTGATATGTGTAGATGTGTAGATGCAAAAGCCGAAACTCCCCACAAAGAGGCCAGGGAAGGATACTGGGCATCTACCTCCCTACCTCCCTGCCGAACTACCTTCAGATGGGGACTTACGTTAAGGTTAGGCTGGCTGGCCAGCAAGCTCCAGAAATGTCTGCCCTCAAATGCTGCAGTTACAAGCACACATAGCCGCCCTGGATTTATAAGTGGGTGTTGGGGATTCAAACTCAGGTCCTCCTATTTTCACAGCAAGTGCCCTTACCCACTGAGCCATGTACCCAGACGGATTTTTAAGGAGCTGAATCCTAATCTCTCTTGTGGGAAGATGCCTCTCGTGTTGTCCTTGTCTGGCATTTGTGACAAGGCAGTGATAGTACAGTAGGAAAATGCCTTTCTATGTTTATCGCCCACTGTCCCCGTGGCTTCAATGTACGCTGCACTGTTATGCCCTTTGCAGAACAGTGCCTCGGAGAAAGCTGTAAACACGGCTCCCTACCACTGTGTCTTCTCTCCAGGTGGATAAGTAAGACATTCCACAAAGGCAGGGACAGATTTCCTGCTCCCACTGTGCCTTGGTTCAGCCTGGGATTCCCACAGGACGGCAGATTGCTTCCTTTGGGTTCACTCCCAAATACAGCCCACTTATTGTTCTCCAAGTATTGGGCCATAAGCTACTGGCATGTCTCAGCTATGAGAGCCGGAGTAAAGCATGGTCTTTTAGAAAAGGAAAAGAAAAAGGAATGAGTATTATGGGATAGCTGCATAGGGAGCAAATTATGTGCTGAGAAAATGCATTAGGAGATACCTCAAGACAAAAAGTCTCAGTCTGCCCAGTGGAGGTGGTGGTGGTTATGGCTGAGGCAGTGGCACATGCTTTTAATCCCAACCCTAGGAAGGCAGAGGCAGGCAGATCTCTATAACTTCTAGGCCAGCCTGATGTACAGAGCAGGTTCTAGGACAGCCAAGGCTACACAGAGAAACTGTCTCAAAAAACCAAAACAAAGACAAAAAGCCACATTCTGACTTTATCCTCCACATCTGCCAACCCCAGCATCTGGGACAGTTCTATAGGTGACTTTGACTCTGAGAAGGGAGACGTTTGCTCCTAAAGAGAAAATGCAGCATCATACACTCTGGAAGGAATGCACAGAAAGAAAGGCAGTCTCCTCAGCCCTAGGCAGAAAGATGGCTTTCCCAGTGAACAGAGAGAGCCACCCTCTCTTTGTTGTCTGTCCCCCTGCTGAGGAAAGCCATTAATCACACTCCTGCTAGGCAGTGTGAATGGACATGCTACCCCGCATGAGCATGCGTATCCAGCCATCAGTAGGAACTGGACTTGAGCAAGACCTGGAGGTCCACCCCTTCCGATTAGCGAGGGCACCCGTGTACAAATAGAGGTCCTGTTCTTCCAGAGGTCCTGAGTTCCGTTCCCAGAAACCACGTGGTGGCTCATGACCATCTATAATGAGGTCTGATTCCCTCTTCCGGCTTGTAGGAGTACATGCAGAGAGAGCGCTCATATACATAAATAAATAAATAAATAAATAAATAAATAAATAAATAAATAAATAAATAAATACTTTAAAAAAATGTGTGCCATTTGAAAAGTGCTCTGGCCCAACACTCTCCTCTGGCTGTCACTCTCCTCAGTGCTGAGCTTCGTGTTATTGGGGTTGTCTGTCACTTCCCAGGTCCTCCTGAGGTGACTGCTTCCCTAGCTTCCTTGGCGGCTCCTTAATATTCACTGCTGTTTTCTTCTCCCAGTGTGGGCAGATACACACGCTCCCACAGCAGGCTACGATGCTGTGCTCACTGCGTGTGGACTGATGGCTTTCCTTTCACTCCGCTATTTCTCAGTTTGACGGCTGGGGACTGTGAGTCACTGGTGGCAGTGTTCTAATGGATTAGCTGGGTTCGAAAAATAGTCCAGGCACTCATGCAGGCAGCAGATAAGCCCGAATAAGCAGTCTCTTAGCTACCAGTAGAAACATACTCAGCAATATCTACAGTTGAGTCTGGTAGAAACAAAAACAAATTCCTTAAAACATACGTGGTCAGTGGCCTGAGTGAAGGCCGTGTGCTAGGTCTGTGGCCCAGCTGTAGACAATACCTCACTTCCTCTCAGTTCTGAAATCAAAAGGATCCCTCTAGGAAACTGTGTAAACCACACTTGTTTTTAATGTGTCTTTTGACCCAATGGGGTAGCGCAGGACTGTAGCCCTAGCTTCCCCAGGTGGGAGGACTGCTTGAGCCTGGAAGTTTGAGAGAGGCCTGGGCATCATAGCAAGAGCCATCTCAGGGAAAACAAACAGAAGAAATATGTTGCTCTTCAACCTGGGATATAAATGTCCCCTCCTTGATGGTCTTGTTCTTGGTGATAGGTTGCCTTAGACCATGGTTATTATGGCTTGAGTTTAGTTCTCTTAAGGAGTCACTCAGGCTGATTCTGAGCTCTTGGCAGTCCCCCTGCCTCAGACTCCTGAGTGCTGAGATCATGAGCATAAAACATAGACTTTACTGTTTAAATTTTTCTATTTAGAGGCTAGGAGATAGCTCAGTCAAGCACAGAAGAACAGGAGTAGTGAAACACGCTTATGATCCCTGTGCTGGAGAAGCAGAGACAGGAAGATCCCTGAAGCTCACTAGCTAACTAGCCTAACCAACTCTAGCTCCAGACCAGTTAGAGTCCCTGTCTCAAAAGGTAGATATATAGACAGACAGATAGCTGGCAGACAGATAGATGGTGAACAGAGCCTGAGGAGTACCCAATGGTTGTTTTCTGAATTTTATGTGCACATAGAAGTTTACACACACATACATTGTTAAATCTTGTACTGGAGGCCAATGAGATTGTTCACCATATAAGGGAAATTGCCACCAAGCCTGTCACATGATAAAAGGAGAGAACCAACTCCCACATGTTGCCATTTGACCTTTGCACAAATCACTCCCCCCCCCCGCATACATTCACTAGATAGACAAACAGACATTTGTAAAAATAAATTTTAAAAATTATTTTAATTTCTAGAAGGGCATTGGTGGTGCAGACCTTTAATCTCAGCATTCAGGAGGCGAAACAGGTGAATCTCTTGAGTTGAAGGCCAGCCTGGACTACAGAGCAAGTTTTGGTACACCCAAGGCTGCATAGAGAGACTGTTGAAAAAAAGAAAACCTTGCACTGTATATTAAACTTATTATAACTGGGCCAATATCAGTAGGCTGTTATTGACTGCAGCCCACAGTCTGAATTAGAATTTACTCTGGGTTATGCCTTCTGAGAGTTTGATAAATGTAGTGGGCTCTATAGCCAGCATTACAGTACCATCCAGAATAATTTGACCACTCTAAAAGTCCCTTATGCCTTCTGTGTTTACCCATATCCCAATGTCACACCACAGAGCACTGAGATTCACCAGTCTTCCCTGTCCCTAGTTTTGCCCCTTTCCAGAGTGGTCGACAGTTGAGATCATGCAGTATGTACTTGTCACACTGGCTTCTTTCACTTAACCGCGTGTCTGGGGTTTTCCTTCACGTGTTTCTGAGTCTTTGATTGCTCTTCTTTTTGTTTCAATGCTAAATATGAGACCTTTTCTTTTATTGTTGTTTTTGGTGGCTTGTTTTGTTGTTGTTTTAGTAAGGTGTCACTGTGTTGCCTAGGCTGTGAGCTGTGAGCCTCTTTCTACAGCTTCACGATAGCTATAATTTCAGCCATGGGCTACTAAAGCTGATTCTGTGTGTGTGTGTGTGTGTGTGTGTGTGTGTGTGTGTGTGTGTGTGCTTACACACATCTCTCTGTGTGTCTTTACTAGAGGTTGAATCCAGGGCCTCATGCATGCTCTGCAAGCACTATATCACCAAGCTAACCCTCTCCAACCCATAATGTTATGGCATGTGGGATAGAAACTGTGTAAATCATCCAATGGAGAATGCTTCAACATTAGTTGTGTGGTCGTTTGTTGGACCGTGTCCATCTTGGCCAACTATGGGCCTCCTGATGGGACCTTCCCCTCGGAGAGTTGTGGGAGCCATGTTCTGACCCGTGGTTTAGGGTTTGTGTTTGAATGTGTCCCAATGCAGAGATAAGGGTTTTCTGAGGGGCCCCAAAATGCTTCCACCAAGGCAAAGTCCTGTGATTAGATGCTTTCAACAGAATGCTCACGGACTCTTTCACACCGAAGAGCTTGGTGGTTTTTATTAATGATTTTTAAACACTAAAATCAGTAGCCCACTTTCAGCCCTTTCATCATCACTGTGGAATTCTCTGGTTTGCTTCCCGTTGGGAGCCTAATTCTGCAAATCCTCCTCTGAGGAAAAGAGCAGACCAAACCTACAGGTAAAAAAGGAATTCGTAATTTCACTTCGCAGGCAATCATGAGTTCCAGGCTAAGTAATTTGACCAAAAGCAGGACTTGTTCACTAAAAAGCAGTTTTGAGAAACTTGATGGCTTCTACCTCCAGGCAGAAGCTTCATGGAGGAGATGGTGTTAACTTGGGGTTAGGGAGGAGGGCTTGGTAGAGCAGACTCCCTTCACATTTGTGAAAACAGGGAGTCTCGGGAAGGAAGAAGAGACACAGTTAAACAACAGACGTTTTGTTTTCTTTCTGCCCTGCTTTTGGTGAAATGTCCATATGTGTGTGTATAGACGTAGCACTAATCTAAGATTGAAATATGCAATCAAACAGCATAACTATATGTATGTGCACAGTGTTTAGATACAGTAGTTGTTGACTACATCATTACAGGAACTTTATGCTGTTTTTCACGTTGAGGAGGTAATAAGGGAGGCTCCATCAGGAGGTCTGTTTCCTCATATTGAGGTTGTGTTGCTGGTGAGACATCTGAATGGGTGCATAGTCAGATAACCGGCTAGCCAGTATGTACCCTGGAAGCCCCTGAGAACATATCTGTCTCCCAGAAGAAGACGAGGACCCCTACCTCCTACAAGTCCTCACTCATGCTCTCTCACGCTTAGGACATGCTCACTGCACACTCACTTATTTGACGCTTGTATAACAGGAATGTTAAGTTACCTCTTTACCATATTTTAATGTCAGTGTTCGTTCCATGTAGATAAAGATCTGGAGAGTAAAGAAGAAAGGAAATGTTTGGTGATGGGGGGTGGAGGAGAGTGTCTTGATCCAAAACCTAGATTCAATCCTACTTCCATTGGCTAATAGCTGTAATATTAGGAAAATAATTTTACTACTTATAAATTCAGAAAGTTAAAATGGTACTATTTGTCTCGCTAGTACAAGCATTAAAAAGTACTTTTGTGAAGTCAGATCATTTGAAAAACAGTAGGCACTCAGAAAAAAATTTAATGAAATATCTTTTATTTATTCCTTGGCAATTTCATGTGTGTAAACAATGCATATTGATCACATGCGCCTCCAACACATACCCCTGCCTACTTTGTGTCCTTTGTTTAGTAACTTGCTAAGTCAAACTAGTACTGCCAATTATCCTGACCGGATCTTGCGCCGGTGATCACAGCTGCGGGGAATCTGGGTATGCAATGGCCATGTCATGTCCCAAAGACAGCATTTCACGCCACTCCTCATCTTCCAGATCTTACGGTCTTTCCGCCCTCTTCCGAGATGTTCCCTGAGTCTTGGCAGGGGGTTGATATGGATATACTATTTAAGGCTCATCAAACTCAATCGACACTTCTTCCCAGCATGTTAATGGGTTTAACCAGCCTCTACAGTAACTGCTGGCCGCTTGCAGAGAGATCAGAAAAAATTTTAGCAGCCTTAACATGATTAAAATCGCCCAGAGCAATGAAACTTCCCTCTGAATGACATGCACTGTGATTTTTCTTTCTAAAAATACTTCCATGACCTATAAATCCAATAAAGAAAGGAAACCCAGGAATTCAAGAAGTCTATGTTCTAGGATTAAAGCTAGGGCATGAGACCTCAGCACACAAAACAATCTTGTGGCTGGACCATGCACTGAAGCTATCTGTCCTCATAGTGTCCACTCTCTGTCCTCATAGTGTCCACTCTCAAAAATCCTCCAATATTACCCATCCTTCAGGGTCCCAGGAAAGGCCTCCCTGCTTACTTCAGCCCTTATTGATGACAATGATCCCTTAAATTCATTGGACACGCCTGTAATCCCATCACTCAGGGAGGCAGAGGCAGGAGGATCTCTGTGAGTTTAAGGCCAGCCTGGTCTACAAAGCAAGTCCAGGACAGCCAAGGCTACAGAGAAACCCTGTCATGGAAAAAAAAATTTTTTGGACACTAAAATGTCATTAGTTCCATGCTCTTTTAGAGGCTAGGAACCCAGTGCCAAACAGGTACACACTTTTCTTCATGAGGCTCTCCTAGCATCTTGGTCTTAGCAGCATTTAGCATGATGGTAAACTGCGCTTCTGAGGCCTACCTGCAAAGCCTCACAAGCGAACTCTAAGTGGGCATTTTGACATTGCTTCTGGTCAGTGGGTGATGCTTTTACCAGAGCCCTCTACAAAGCCGGTATTTAGTAGATTTAGCATATTTTGAATGATAAACACACTTGTCTCATTAGTCTGCCCAGGGTCTGAATACACTGAGTACAACAGTTAGCACCCTTGTTTCAAAGTACTGCTGCAGCGGTGAGAGGCTGGTGAACAAATTCTCACGTTTTCTTCCCATCCAGCCCATGTGTGTCTGTGTTAAAGAAAACACTCACACTCATGGGAACCCAGGGAGATGGCTCAGTTGGTAAAGGACTTTTTTATGCAAACATGAGGACATGAGTTTGATCCCAGGACCCGTGGGGGGGAAAAAGGCAGAGACGGAGGCATGCACTTGTAATCCCAGAGCCGGAGAGGCAGAGATAGAATCCTCAAGGCTTGCAGGCCAATCCGCCTCATCTACTTGATGAGCAACAGGCCACTGAGAAAAAAAGAAAAGACCAGACTGCGATCACACCATCATGACCGGAAGGAAGCTGCCATTTCTCAGCCTTTTACATCCTTTCCTCCCCCTCTTCCACCATGCATGCTCCGCCTCCGGGGGGGGGGGGGGCGTTAATAGAGATGTCCTCTGCAGGGCTGAGAACTCAGCCCCTTCTTATTCTCAACACTTTGACCTTTATGCTGTTGGTGGTCAATGGCTGCTGCGGTAAGTTTCCGGTGGACTGCCCCACACCTCTGCACATAAACGGAGCACTGCATGGTTTTAGTGGGCTATATATTTTTACAAGACATGCGGTTTGGAGTGAGGCATGTTGGGGAATGTGCGGGAGGTTAGAAGGGGGACATGGGGGGGTACTGTGGTCATATTTCATTGTATATATGTATGGGAGGGATCCCCCCCAACATAATTTTCAAAAACTTAATGAAGATAAATTAGCCAGTAGAAAAATAAAAGTGGTTGAGGATGAGTTCTTGCCTCCGTGCACACACACGTGCGTACACATGGAAAAACCATTTTCTCATATTTCCTTCCTCTCTCTCCTCCCCCCCCCCCCCCCCCCCGCTTCTGTTTCCACAGGTCAGTGTCGAAGTTTTGGTAGAGTATCCTTTTTTTGTGTTTGGACAGGGCTGGTCATCCTGCTGTCCTGAGCGAACCAGCCAGCTCTTTGATCTGCCGTGTTCCAAACTCTCCGTCGGGGACGTCTGCATTTCGCTCACCCTCAAGAACCTGAAGAATGGCTCTGTTAAAAAGGGCCAGCCCGTGGACCCTGCCAGCGTCTTGCTGAAGCACGCAAAGACGGACAGCCTGGCTGGCAGCAGACACAGATACGCTGAGCAGGAAAACGGGATCAACCAGGGAGGCGCGCAGGTGCTCTCTGAGAACGGCGAACTGAAGTTTCCAGAAAAATTAGGATTGCCTGCAGCACCCTTCCTCACCAAAATAGAACCGAGCAAGCCCGCAGCCACAAGGAAGAGGAGGTGGTCGGCACCGGAGACCCGCAAACTGGAGAAGTCGGAGGATGAGCCTCCTTTGACTCTTCCCAAGCCTTCGCTCATTCCTCAGGAGGTTAAGATCTGCATCGAAGGCCGATCTAACGTGGGCAAGTAGAGACCGTGCAGGCAGCCGAGGCCCGGGCCTCTTCTGCTGTCTGTATCCAGATTACTGTACTGTAGGCTAAATAACACAGTATTTACATGTTATTCTCTTTAGGTTTGTGTTCTAACCTTGTCATTAGAGTCAAACAGGTGTGTCGCAGGAGACTGGTGCATTGGCATTGTCTGCGCGTGTCTGTTGAGACGGCAGGTAGAGGGTGGTCAGAACCGCGGCCCTGGAGCTCCAGGGCATCCCGGGCGGCCCTGGATGTGGCTTCATGAGCGCCTGCCTTCCCCAGCAGCACAGAGCTGAGGGGCATCAGTTCTCACTGGTTTCCAGAGCAAAGTCAGTGGGAAGCGACCTGCAAGGGTGTCTGGGTGCGTTCCTGTGAAGGGTGCCATGGTGCCATGGTGGTGAATGAGGGGCTCTCTTTTTCTCGGCCTCCCCTCTCCGTTCGCTTGCTCACTCTCAGCATGGGACTGGGGGACCTGGGTTTCCCACAAGCAAAGTCATCCTCAGGAGGCCCAGCTTCCGGGCATTGAGGGGAGGCATCAGACAGCAGATGGGAAGCTAGTTTCGAAGAACGTGGTTCTCTCCAACATATTTTACTATAAAAAGCAACTTTTAATCATAGATATATAGAGATATATATGTATATTTCCCCCATGGGGCCTGACTGCACTGAGTTTTTATTTTTATTTTTAAGAACAGCTGCCACGTGCAGGATTTCATTTCTGCTCTACCAGGCCCGGTGACATCATCACCAGGTGTCACAGAGGGCAGGGAAGTCCTTGCTCAGGTCCCTCCTGGTCAGGCGGGTGGCAGTGGGGCTGGGGGACAGAGGGAGCACCCACACTGGTCTCTGCGCAGTGTTAGGAAAAAAAAACCAATCAGGTTGTTTGCATTGCCTTGGGCTCCCAAGAGGGAAACGCAAGCTCCCCTCCCGAGAGAGCCAGGGCAGCTCTCGGGGCTGAGCTGGCAGCATCCTTTCTTTTAGGGTCTAGTACTGTTTCTAGTTCATAACTATGGACAACTCGGGTGCCGCTGTTTTTTTTGTTTTTTTTTTTTTTTTCCCTCAATCCCAGTGCGACATGAGGAGTTAGATATGGAAGGTATACATCTGTTACTATCTCTTAAGCAGTTAAAAATGCTGCGCAGACTTCTTAACCGAGCATCTTGGTCTGTCCTTCAATGAGTACTGTATCTCACTTCAAACTCTTTGGGAAGAAAAGACAAACCTAAGTTGCTTTCGATTTTTTTTTTTCTTCCAACACTGTAACTATATTTCAGCTCTGCAAGACTGCTCACAAGCCAGCAGTCGAAGGCTCCCATCTGGCTTAAGGGGATGAATGTGAGCTGTAAACTAGCACGTGACGATAGATGACCACCCAGTACTGCCACGGCAGGCACTTGTCACTTTGATGTTGGAGAAAGTTAGAAGGCGTATGCAGAGTTGGCAGAGAAACCGAGGAAAGACACGGAGGAAAAGACACACTCGTTTTTGTCCAGTGTTTTTAGGGTGAACTCCTAAAGAAGAACTTTGCGATTTGCACATCTTGAGTTTATAATTTGTGTGATATTCCTGCAGTTTTTATCCAATAACATTGTGGGAAAGGTTTTGGGGGTGGGGTGGGGGTTGAACAAGCATAAATAAATGTAGCAAAAATTACTTTCTAACCTGCCTACACCCTAGGCCCTTCTTAGAAGGTTCTGTTCCTTGAGACTTCATTTTTGTTATCTGCCATACCCATCATGAGAAGCCAGATCTGAGAGTTTTCTTCAGACTCATTGAGAGTTTTCCATAGAGACATTTTATATATGTGAGCGAGTATTTTCATTTCTGGAGAAATAAGTGTTAATATTATTTTTCACAATGACTTTTTTTTTCTATTTGAAATCAAACAAAGATCTAATGTTTGGTACAAAAACCCAGAAAGGATATTTCATAAAGTCACAAGTTTTCATTCCCAGAGATCAAAAATATCATTTGTGGGTTCTGAGTACGTCTTAAAGTGCTTTAAACCAAGTTTTATAAATAGGGAGACGTTTTTAAACATTCTTACTTGGCTGGCTGCAACTAACCTAAATAAGTTCTTATTTGACTTTTAACCACTAAAAAAAAAAAAAAAAAAGCCTTCTCAAATTAGGAAAGAGAGACCTCCCTAAGCAACCGCCATGCTGGCCATACAGGCTGCATTCATAGTGGCTCTCATTGGGACTGATGATTTTTTTTTTTTAACAGACCATTTTCTGGGGTGTACCAAAAATATCTGAGTAGGTTTCGAGTAGCTGGCCTCTCCCTAAACTTCATTACCCTCTCAGCACGCTAGCAGGTCAGAGTGGGCTCATTCTTACAGTCACATCGTTTGTTTAGTGCTGTGATTTTTTTTTTTTTTTTAACGTTTCTGTTCAGAGACCTTGCTTAATCTTCCACATATTCTGCTCAGGGTACTGGCACTTATAGGTTTCTGTTTTTCTTTTGTTTGTTTGTTTGTTTTTTCACCTTGGACGGTGAGAGGAATAAGGGGCTGCCTCAGAGGTGCCGTGCGGTAATACTCATGACAGCTGCTGTGGGCTCAGAAAACACACACTGCTTTCTGGCTGACCTCGAGGACAGAACTGACTGTGCCCGCTAAACTGACACTAAAGCAGGGAAACACACACGGTTCAGAGCAATAGGAATATCATTCACTTCTGTGGTTCTATTTCAGGTATAGGAATTATAAAAAACCATTGGTTCTTCTGAAGCTTTTGTCCCATATCATCCACTCGCTCTCTTAGCATGTGCAATACTTTGTGTGCCAATAGCGTGCTTTCTGGTTAAAGTTCATCACCATTTGGCTCTTCCCTCGTTCTGTGGGTCAACCTTCCTTCCCCTCACTGGCCAAAGACAGGCTCAAGGGAAGAAACCACTTTCCCCTTAATGTGGATAAGAATACCGGGATAGAGGGCCTGTGTGTCTGTCACCAGGACACAGCGACAGCCAGCCAAGGAGACCTGAGGGAAGTGCCTGGAAGGCCCATCACTGTACTTGGCAAAGGCCCTTCTCTCTGTAGCGAACCTGGAATGCAGCAAGGAGGCAGACTGGTTCCTAGGACACACTCCGGAGCAATGTGGGCCGAAGTCCACCCACTTTTCAGTCTCTCCTGTGTCCTTGAGACTTTGACCTCTGCCTTTGAGCACAAGCAACTTATGGCATATGTGTGTGTGTGCTGAGCACACCTACCAATGGCTTTGCAGGGGACCACCCAGCAACCACAGTCACCATTCCCTTGCGGCAGCGCTCTCTTCACATAGGAAGAGCACGGAGGGGCAGGAACCACCTCTGGTTTGCAGACCTTGGTGGCCCCCCAGGCTCCCGGAGCAGTGTGTTCATCTTTCTGCGTAGGGAGCATGGTAATGGCAGTGCCCTCAGCGTACAAGGATCAGCCATGGGCCTCCCTCTGTACCTTTGCAATATTTATCAACAGCCGTCTTTCATTCTGCTCTTTCCTGCTTTCCATTTTTTAAAACAAATAACAGCAGGCCTTTTGTGTTTACAATGGAACATGATCACCAAGAAATTAGTCAGGGCAAAAAGAAAACATAGTAATATTACTAATAAGAAATCAACAAACAAGAACCTCTTTATAGGAATTTCTAAATACATAAAATGACTGTTCCTTCGAATGTTTAACTTTAGAATTATTTCAGTTTGTCTGGGCCACCTTGGGGTCAGCGGGAGGGGATAGGGATCGTGGGAAAGGCCAAGGATGCCACTTACCTCAAATCTTTTTAAAAGTGGGAATCCCAATTGCATTCTTTTTTTCCCCCTTTGGACTTGCAGGATAATCGTCTGTGTTGGTCACATTTTGCTTTTCTCAATTCATCCGACTCATTTTGGATGGCCTGGTTTTTGTGGTGGTGGCAACAGAATGTCCTTAACTCTGAATCTTGACCTTGTATGTTTTCTGTTAGGGTGAGCTTGTTGGATCCCTCTTTCCCTCCCCTCCCCCCCCCACCAGGAAGTGGCAGCATCCTTTCTTTCTCCCCTGCAAGGAACTCTGCGGAACCTTTCACACTTCTTACTCAGGGATGGGGCTGGTGTGTGTGTGTGGAACACGGACGTGTTCAGCGACAGCACTTTGGACTGCTCTGGAGTAGGGTTGTACAATTTCAAGGAATGTTTGGATTTCCCCCGCATCGTGTGGATTGCTCCTTAGCTAGTGCGCAGATTGCAATATAAGGCTGCACGCTCAAGATGAGCGGCAGCCACTGGCGATCAGAAAATCCACTCTTTGCACACAGTTTGATCTTTACTGAAATGTTGCCAAAATCTGTTTTTGTTGTAGCTTTGCATTTTTTTCTTTTCTCTCTCTCTTTTTAAGGAAACAATTGACAATACCCTTTAACATCTGTGACTACTAAGGAAACCTATTTTGTAAATGCTTTCGAAGACACTAACACCTATTTCAGACATGGTTGAGGAGGCAGAGCTCTTGGGATAGAAAGCCAGACTTTTTGAGCTGAGTTGGTTGGCATGGCAACTGTTTCCTGAACAAGCGAGCAGCTCAACAAACTAGTCTGCTCTCTCCTGAAACCCTCTGCATTCTCCAGCTTCCTAGTTAGCCCCCTTTGACTCCAGGGGAACACAGGGCCTCTAGTCTCCAATCCAGTGTCTTTGATGGTTGAAATGAAAGGCAAGAGAATTAGACTTCGTTATTTAAAAAATGGAGTGAAGGCCTTTTGAATTTCTGAACTAGAGAATTTAAGGAAAAAAATGGAGTAATAATTATAGAGAATCTACATTTTTATGAAGCACATGCATATGACCGGTTGTGTTGGGTTGGTTTCCTCCCTTTTCCATGGACAGTGTTGTATTTTTGTTCCTAAGGCAACTCCAAACAGTTTGCACATTCTCTACTCTGGAGCTGAGATTTCTTTTACATAGATGACCTCGCTTCAAATGTTACCTTACTGATAGGCTTTTTTTTTTTTTTTTTTCTTGTAGCACTATACCTTGTGGGAAGTTTTTTTGTTTTGTTTTCTTTAAAGTAAGTACACCCAATTTGAGCAGCCAAAGCGGGCGGGGGGGGGGGGAAAAAAGGGAGATTTTTTTTTTTTTTTTGAGGCACTCACTTTGGGGAGTACAGATAATTTTTTTAAAAAATTGCACAAAAGAAAAAATGAATGTTGAAATGATTCATTCAGTGTTTGAAAGAGACAGATCTGTTGAAACCATGAGTTTCATATTTTGTGTGTATAAAAAAAATGAAAAACAAAAAACAAAGCAGAGGAGGGTTGGAAGTTACATGTTTTGGGGTTTTATTTTTCCTGTATATAGAAATTTGTTGTCCTGATGATCAAATTTGTATGGTTATGGCCTGGAGGAATTACGATGTCAGAGGCTCTTCAGCTATCCTACACCTATGCTTACTGTCTGTTTTCGTTACACGTGGCTCTTGTGTGAAGAATGGGAAACTCTGTATTCCGATATTTTGAGAATACTGTCCATTCCTAGGCCGGAAGTACTTCCTTAAGTTCCCTTCTTAAGCCATTGCAACTTCTTTTCTTTGGATGATGTCTGACATTTTCAGCACTTCCTGTTCCTATAAACCCAAAGAATATAATCCTGAACATGAAGTGTTTCTAAGAGGGATCTTCTCCTTCCCAGTAAGACAGGACTCATGGTGGGGACGAAAAGGTGAGCCTTTCTTCTGCCTCCCACCGCACACCTCATTTACATGGGGGGGAAACATCTCAATTTGAATGCCTAGCTTTCGTTTTGATGTTTCTCAAGTAGAGGCCAGACGCAACTGACTGTTTCTCAGTCATGTTCCCATTGGACAGTGGAGCGGGGTGGCACCAACAGCTTAGGGGCAGTGAACAGATCTTCGCCCTGATTCTTACATTTGGGTTCACGTCCCCTCCCTTACTGTGCAAGTTCTTGTAGCTGACATTCACCTTGGCAAAGACGGAAGGGGGGCAGAGGCTTCAGCTTTTCACATCCTGACACTTGCATACAGGAGCTCCACCTGAATTCACATTAAGTGTGTTTGGCCAATAGGAACCATTTGCACCATAGCGGTCTCTAGGAACTCCCCTAACACTTTGTCTCTGAAAGGACTCAAGTCTTCCACTACAGATCACTCGGAGACTCTACCCACTCACGCTTTCTTGTTCCTTTACTGTCTGGATGGCCGAGCTGAAGGGCTGTGCAAAGCACTGTTTACAGTAACCCTTACCAAGATAGCATACTGCCCCCCAGACTCCCCAGCTGAGGTGACACCGGCTTAGAACTTGTGAAACATCAGTTACCAAGAAGGTTGGTGCATCGGTTTTCTCCAGTTCTTACACAAGCCACCTGCTCTGAAGTTATTTCCTAGTCCAAGAGTGGGATGATCCTTTGAGTCGGTGGGGTGTAACATTGACAACGCACCAGAGCCCCATTCTGTGACTACTGTCCCCTCCCCAACCCACACAGCATAATGCCAGGTAGCATCAACTGAAAGGGGGTTGCAGCAGAGTCCTGTCAGTATTTGTGGTGGCCTTTCAAGAAGACAGTCTGCATCTCCAACCAGTGGAGTCTTGGCCCTAAAGAACCTGAGAGCTGAACCAGAGGAGGTTTGGATATCAGGTTCCCAACCTCTCCCATTTCCATTCATACGCCTCCCACAGGCCAAGGGGAAACGGACACCAAAACTTGGGCTGAGGGTACTACCATGTGGAGAACTAGGGAAAAAAAAAAAAACAACAAAAAAAAACGTTTTTTGCACCTTATTGAAAAGAAACTTTTAAGTGCATACATAGTTAAGAGCTTTTATTGTGACAGGAGAACTTTTCCATATGCGTGCATACTCTCTGTAATTCCAGTGTAAAATGTTGTACTTGCACTAGCTTTTTTAAAAACAAATATTAAAAAAAATGGAAGAATTCATATTCTATTTTCTAATCGTGGTGTGTCTATTTGTAGGATACACTCGAGTCTGTTTATTGAATTTTATGGTCCCTTTCTTTGATGGTGCTTGCAGGTTTTCTAGGTAGAAATTATTTCATTATTATAATAAAACAATGTTTGATTCAAAATTTGAACAAAATTGTTTTAAATAAATTGTCTGTATACCAGTACAAGTTTATTGTATAATACTCGTACTAATAATAAAATAACAGTGCCAATTGCAAACCTGTGTCTTTGCCTTTTGTCAGGTTCCTAAAGAAAGCAATGGCTGTGATGGTGACAGAAGTTCCTCCTCACTGTGTCACCTCAGGGCACCCTGGGGAGACCGGTGGCAGGGAATGAAATGAGGCACGGATGTCCCTAACCTGCCGTCTCCTATCTGCTCAACGTTCTAGGTTGTTCTTCTCAAATGACCGGCAGCTCTGCACCTCGTGTGGTGTGGTCAGTGGTCTGCAGCTGGTGAGTATGTTTCCGTGCAGCGTGGGCTTCTTAGAAACCTGGGGAGGAGAGGTTTCTCCACACAGGAAGCCTCCTTCCTCTGTGTTTGCCTCGAGAGGACAGTGCACAGGATGGCGCTGGACTCGGCTTCAGAAAGACGTAGCGTGGGTGGTTGTCTAGGAAAGTCATGCCTCCAGGAGAAGCACCCCCAGGTATGCCCTGCCCCCATGCACCTGCGGTGCTCTTCTATCTGAAAGCCGAGTTCACACAGGGGAGAAAGAGAACGCCAGAAGAGTTCAGCGATTTCCCTTGGCCGGGAAAGGATGGGAACTCTCTGCTTCTGTTTTCTTCTTAGTAATATCTTTGTGAGCTATCCAATTAGGACTCATCTCAGTAAATCAGGCAGCCTGGGCTACACGGCAGCATGCGGCTCCTGAAACAAGGATTTGAGGTTCTATACGCTATATTTTAGTGTATGAGAAAAGGAGTAGCATTCTAGGAAGCCTCAGTGAAACAGACTAGAAGGGCTGTTCCTGATGTGCAGCGGGCCAGCCCCTGCTTGCTCACAATTAGATGCTAGTAACAGCCTACTTATGGCTAGGACAACTCAAATACAGTTTGCTGTGCTACTCTGAGGCATGCCTTAAATCTCTTAAGCATTGCTCCAGTCCAAGACCAAAGGCACCAAGTTCACTCTCCTTTACTCCAGGGTTGTGCCCAACTTTCCAAAGAAAATGTTCTCCCACACTTATTACCTGATAGGTAAATGGCAACATTTCTCTCTCTGCTTCTCTGTCTGCAGAGATATGAGTAGGCAGCCTCCTGCTCTTGAAACCACGGTCTGCCACCGTCCCTCCCGCTCCCTCACAGGAAGTCCTATGCATTGACAGCAAGCCTTCTCGGTCCACGGCATGTTTGCTGCCTGGACTAAAGAATGCTCCCACAGTGGGTTCCCCCCAGCCCCATTCCTATCATGGATTTGCTCTGGTAAAGAGAATGTGTGTTCCTTTTTATGAAGCCTCGCTTCAGGTGGCACCAGGTGTCCAGGGCTTTGCAAGAGCTTGGGTTTCATCGGCCTAGAATTTGATGCCAAGGGGCCTGCAAAGACCCCTTACAGAGAAAGAGCATAACTGAATGTGTTGCTACAGGGGAAGGAAACCTGCAGCCCCCGTACTGACCACATGGCACCGCACCCTCAGGGCAGTGTCCTCACAGTGCCAGATGCTGCAGTGTGAACACAGGGACCAGGCCTATCAAAGACACAGGTGACAGCTCATTACAACGCCAGAAATTTGGAGAAAGGCACAGGTCTGGACAGTCCACTTTAATGGGCTTGAGAGTTCCTTTTCCTCTCACTTATTCTAGGCTCATTAAGCTGCCATCAGGGATGATCTATGAAACACACTCACCATGGGGTATACACCAAGAGAGGCTGACACTTGACACAGATGGGGAAGAGAGGAAGTGGGGTCCTCTAAACAGGTCCTGCATCTTTTTGTTTGTATTGAATACCATCTCTTGTGATGACTCTTGTGATGATTAGCCTTGTCAGCCTGACTTGACTTAGAACCACGGAGGAGGTAAAATCACAGGTGTGCCTGTTAGGGTGTTTCTGGAGAGGTTTAAGTGAGAAGAGAAAACCCACCCTGACAGTGAATAGTACCACCGCATGGGCTGGGGACCTGCAATGGATAAAGGGGGTGGAGGAGACGGGAACCCAGATAGAATGTGAGGATTCACCCCTCTGATTTCCTGGTTTACAGAGGTGTGAGTGAGTGGCCTTGTGTTGCCAGGCACAGCTGCCAGCCACTGGCATCCTTCCCTACCTCAATGGACAGTATCACTTGAACTTTGCACCAGAAGAACCCCCCCCCCCTTTAAGTTGCTTCTTTCAGGAATTCCGTCATTGTGATGAGAATAGTAGTGAGCACAGCCTCCCCGCCACCCCCAAGTACAGCCATTCATATCTCCATAGGTACAGGGCTTTAGGACTTTGGGCGAGAGATTGAAGAAGGGTTCGGCATGCAACCTTCTCAAACCTGAAGGTCTTAAAATACCAGGCTGTAAACAGGCTGGCAGTCCCCCAGGTACTGATGTGGCTGGATCTTTCTTGCAGCATCAGATAGGGTACACACCAGACGATTAATTGATCCTCACTCAGCAATTCCAGTCCTTCCCCACCAATGTCATATTTGCCTTTTCAGAGAAAACATAGCCCTGTGCCTGCTGATGAGCGTTGTTAGGAAAAACACCTGACCCTCATGAGCGTCAGTGCTTTGACATCCTGCAGGACAGTTCTCTGGGCTAAGTAGGGCCTTTCTCCAAGTTGGAGTCTCTCTTACCAGCCAATAATGGGCACCTTGCTGCAGAGCTATACGGTTCTTCCCAGGAAGCAGTAATACAAGGGACTTTCTCAAACTCCTAACTCACATTTTAAATCCCCTTTAGGCTACAAAGCACTTGGTTTTCAGGGAGGCTTCTTCAGAACCTCTTCATAAAAACATCTATGGGACTTCAAGATGGTTTTGTAACCTCATGGAGAAGGGGCCAGCCTAGCTGAGCTGAAGCTCAAGCAAGACCTGAGGTCAGCCAGGGCTAATAACTAGATCGTGACTCTTTTAAAAAAAAAAAAAAAAAAGGGCAATCTGACAAGATGAGATAGGGAAGAGAAGGATAAGGGGTAGGGGTGTGTATATGACAAAACAACACAAAAATCTGGGACAGGATCGGCCTGCTAGCTTCTATCGGCTCCAAACAGGCAGGGAGACGTCCGTCAACCCGGCCCATCGCCTTGTTTCTTCCCAGAAACAAAAGCTGGAGGGAAGAGGTGGGGTACAAGCATAGCTCACACCCAGCCTCACACCGCACTCCCTCCACGGCCAGGGGTCTTGTGTGTTAACCATCTGAGGGTCACTTACCTGGCTGGGATGGCTTTCCCAACTCTTGTGACGCTGCACCACAACTGTGCTCCTGACCATGCAAACTTCAGCACTCAGTCAAGATCACAGCATTATATTAAAAGTGAAACCACTGTCCTTGAGGAAGAAAACAGAGGCGGAAGGACAGGCTGCAGGGGTTGCTTGAAACAAAGAGGCAATGAGTTCTAGGAGCTGACCCAGGGCCCCACGTGCTCCCGGGATCCACACAGGCACTAGGGCAAGCCCCAAGGCCTTTATGTGCATGCTCAGGACGGCGGCTCAGTGTCGGCATCTGTGGTGGCAGCCAGCCTGCTAGGACAGACAAGAAGGGGTGGGAGAAGCATGGCGAGGGGTGGCCTCCTGGAGGTTAACCGAACACCGTGTTGTGCTGTTGGGTCACCCGGATGAACGTGGCCCTCCTGCTGAGCTCTTTGAGCTTGGCAGCCCCGACATAGGTACAGGTAGACCGCAGTCCTCCGAGGATGTCCAGAATTGTGTTCTCTACATCCCCTTTGTAAGGCACCTCCACAGTCTTGCCCTCAGAGGCCCTGGGGGAGAGGAAGGGGGAGGGTTAATCCAGTTTGTTTTCCCTTAATAACCCAGGCAGAACACCCCCCCCCCCGTATGGCTTTTATTTTGTTGACCATTCCATACATGTAAATGGTGTGTTTTGCTCATTTTCACTCGCTGTCACCTTCTCTCATCCTGCTCCTGCTCCCATCAAAGCCCTGCTCTTTACTCATAAGCCCAACACCCCCATTTTCATGTCTTTTTGGCTTGTTTTATTGTGTCCCCTTGAGTCAATAAACTCAGCAGGTGGAGGTCAATTATTAAGAGCATGGGGTCCTCACCGGTGGTCACACCACTGAAGAAAATGACTCCCCCAGCAACTACTAATTGCTCATAGCCCCTTGGAGAAGGGGGGGGTCACGAGGCCCTCTTCCATCCAGTCCGAGTCTTACCCAGGTAACAACAGCTTTAGTGAGTTTGTGAGTGCAACAATGGTGTGGCCACAGGGTGGTGTTCTACTCACTCTCCCATCCCTACTAAGTCCCTGGCAGATGCTGCATTCCTCTACCCTTATAGGAACGGTGACATTCTCCTTAGCCATGTCCCTCCACTCTTACGGTTCCACTCAGGCGCTAGCTACCAAATAGCCAACAGCCTAATTCTTCCCTGGGGAAAACAGACCCGCTGGCTTGCCTCCTATTACAGCCCCCTCCATCCATTCTTCACCAATAGAAAAGGCACCAGCTCCGTGAACGCTGTGTGTTCTCAGGGACAACACGGGTCTGCCTACGACACACATGAAAAGTCCTGCCTTGGCGGTGCAGTAACTGCACCCCGACGGCCACCCAGCAGCTCCGTGTGCCGCCACACCCACCGCTGAGAGCCAGGGTTGAGAGCTCTGTGGGTGGAGAACCCTCAGAACCTTGGGTGCCACCTCCACATTTTCGGAGCCGTGCTTGGAAATTCAGGCAGGCATAAACATAGGCAACATCTAAGTGTCCCCTTGCCGCTTACACGAAGGCCACCAAACAAACCAACAGCTTGCATCACAAGTCAGACCTGGATCCCGCAAAATGGAGACACAGTCTGTGCGTGCTTTCACGGCAGCATTACAGAAAGCGAGGCCCAGGCAGATCCTAGTAAGTACCCGAATTCTAGAACTTTCTGGGACTAGCCATTAACTAGAAAAAGAAACTCACAGTCTGAAACTCATCGCCTGGGATTCGAAAAGGATTCCCTTCTCCTAACATGGGTGCTCTGTGCACCTTGCATAGACTCCAGCCCCTTAAACCACTGTCTGGGCAATGGGCTGCTTGGTGGCTAGGTCAGAGCTCGAAGCTCAAGAAACTGGGGTCACCGACACATCCAAGATGGCTTAGATCTCAGAACACGCCCGTGAGTCCCCATGACGGCTGCCGTTGCAGGCGGCTCATGACCTTCCCGGGGTCTTTTCTCTTTGCTGAGGTGATGTCATCTCTTGTGTGTACTTCATTGTGGGGTCCCAAAGTCGTCTCATCTGTATCACCCAAGTGAGTGCTAATGATAGACAAGCAGCTAGCGCTACACTAATAACCAGGCAGGAGTTAAACACCAGATCGGAGTGGGGGGAGGGGGTACACACATGTGCCAATCACTCACACAGAGAGGCTGAGAGTGCAGACAAGACAGCAGCAGGGTCAACTTTGGATGCTCAGGCTAACTGCGGACGGTGGTCCTGCTTCCTTCAGTATCCTAAATGAACTCGAAGATCTGAACTCCGGAAGTGAGGCTCAGTGTGTCTACACCTCCACCCTGCTGAATGTCCACAGGGGGCTTCTCCCTCAGCTCCTGGCATCTCCATTGCTTCAGCCTGACCTGCTTTTTTCCCTGTCCACTGCTTTTGGGGAGGGCTCTCTTCAACAGCTGGAACACAAAGGGGCCACCTGATCACGTGGCTCAATTCCACCTTGGCCCAGCACAGACTCCGTGTGGCCCTCGAAGGGTGACGGTAGCTACTGGCTGAACAGTGGGCTCTGAAGGATAATAAGGAGTGGGCCCCACTTCTCACTGAGGCCAGCCCCACACCTCTGTCCACCCAGCTTCTTCTGCTGTAACAAACGACTAGGGAGAATAGCAACACCCTCCCTATGGGGGGGAAAAAAAGCCTTTCTGACTGGCCACAGAGAGTGTTGGCCAGCCAGCGAAGGGTAGGCTTCCCATTCTCCATCCTTGTGTGAGGCCAGGCTTCTTTATAAACACATGAGCCCCTCTGCCCTGTGTCCTTCCTGCACCCTGTCCTTAGTACTGGCTCTGATGAGCTACAGTGGCTGGCTCTTTGGAGGACAGACAGACAGGGTCTGCTCTGTCACGGTTCTTGAGCATACACGAGGCTACTCTGGAAGTGGATGGAAAAGTCCATGTGATCTTGGGGAGATCGTGGACTGGCTGGAGAGATGGCTCAGAGGTTATGAGCACTTCCAGAGGTCCCGAGTTCAATTCCCAGCAAACACATGGTGGCTCCCAACCATCTATAATGATATCTGAAGCCCTCTTCTGGCGTGCAGGTGTGTATGCAGATAGGACACTGTATACATAATAAATAAATAAACCTAAAAACAGACAAATAAACCATGCCTCAGCAGTCAGGTTATACAGTTAATCAGCCGAAAACACTGCCAGTGTCAGCTGTCCGAGCCTGGGGCAGGTGACCAGCCCAAATGAAGTACTGTAAGCCACAGTGTCCTCTATGAAAGGCCTGCTCTGTTTGCTGCACAGTGAGAGATCATTCTTCATCCTGAGGCTTGCAGAACGAGTTATCTTAGGCCGGAGATGAGGGGAAAGAAGTTGTTCAGCAAAGGCTCTTTCAGGACAAGGTGATACTCAACGCATAGCCACCTGAAGCTGGACCTGGCCCTCCCACACTTACGCCTATAATCACATCTCCAGCCCCTCCCGTTCAGGGAACGGAACACAGAGCAGCTAGCCAGGCCAGCAGACACAGCCTAAGCCAGGTGGCAGCAGTACCTGTACTCGGCGACGCCTCCCGAGTGCTTCTTCATGGCTGTGTCCGAGCTCATGCCATAGAAGAGCTTCAGCTTCTGCCCGTTCCTCTCGATCACCTCTCCTGCGCACTCTGTGTGGCCTGAAAACATGCCTCCCAGCATGACAAAGTCTGCACCGGCTCCTACATGCCAACAAGTGGACAAAAGGACAAGGCAGAGGCAGGCTCAGAGAATATAAGGTCTGGAAAGAGGGTCTTGCCCAGTACACCCTTCTGTGCACAGAACAGCTCAGCCTTCCTGTAAGACCAGAAACTGCAGGAAGTCAGAGACACTGAGGGCTGGAGATGGGGGGGAAGAGAGGACAGTCGTCACTGCCTTGAAGGGACCAGTGACTGGCTGGGAAACCTTCTGAGCAGGTCTTGCTCCTTTAGACCAACAAGAGCGTGACCAGTTTCCCGCACCTTAGAAAGCAAGCTGCCTGACCTTGGATTCAGTACAAGGACTGAAGGCTGGGGCTGTAGCTCAGTTGGCACTATCCTCCAGGATAGTGCTGCTTTTGATTCCAGCGCTGCATAAACCAAGCATGGTAGTACATGCTTGTAATCTCAGCACTTGGGAGGTGAAGGCAGGAGGGGGAGAAGTTGTTCAAGGTCATCCTTGGCTATCTAGCTAACCTGGGCTACTTGAGACCCTATCTCAAAACCAAAGCAATTCAGCAAAATTTTAAGTGATCTTTCCATGCTGTTCTTGGGCAGCTATGGATATCAAATATGATGCACCATACAGGGGAGGTCATGTGTTGCAAGCTAACGCCCCCAACCCCCCCAATTCCTAAAATGATGGCTTCTGGAGGTGATGCCTCTGGGTAGTCATGCAGGTTACACGCAGTCATGAAGGTCTCAGTAGCTCTGAAAGAACACACTTGCTCCCTTCCCCATGCGATGCCCTCGGTCCGGCTGTGGGACAGACAGCAAGAAGGTCCTCTCTAGGGATCAGGCAAGTGCCAATGCTGTGTGCTTGGGCATCCCAGCCTCCTCAGCCATGAACCAAATTAACTTTTGTCAACTGAAAAGTGGGCTACGACGTGAGGTGCTAATAGAAATATCTCCTGCCGAGTCACTGAGGATTCCGTTTAGAACAAAACCCGTCCATAACAGGGTGCCGAGTAATCGGGGTGAATGGGCTGGCCAACAGCAGGTGAAGCAGCAGCCTTGATGTCTCCGCTGGGGCCATCTGAACACTTACACAGAACGCCACAATCCCTCAATGCTCTGTCCGTTAGGAAGGGATGCTGAGTAGCGCTGGCCCCTTGGCAAGCAGGGCACAGCACAGACTGCACAGTGGACTGCCAGCAGCTCCAGGCAGGGATGCCCCGCCTGCCCTCCTGCTGTGATTTTAAGGAGGCAGTGGAAGGGTCTGGCCACACCTCCAGAGGAAGAAAGCCAACTGCAGGAACCTTGAGCACAGATCCGTTAAAACATCACTACTTAAAGTGGTTCCTAGTGGCTTTTATTTCTCAGCACTCAAATTGCTTCCCAACTGGCTTTTCCTAGACAAGGTCTCTCTTCCCCTCACTCCTTGGTCCACGCAGGACTGCGTGTTAACAGAGTAGGGGAGAATGCCTGAGGAAAGCCGAGCGAAGGGCCGGTCCCAAGCCTCAGAACAGGTGCTTTCTGGAGAGCAGTCGCTTCTAAGTGTGGTTAGCTCCCACCTTGTGCTGTGGTCCGTGGGAGGTACCAAGAGGGAACCAGACACTTAGTGATGCTCCAGGATAAGGCCAAGGCCACAGACACCAGGGAGCTGGAGTTCTCCCTGCATGTAACTGTAGGACTACGACCTTGCCATGCAATCCGGGGACCTCTGTCCTCTGGACCATAAGACAGGCAAGATAGAATAAACGAAGGGTTTATGTTTCCTTCCACAGCTGGCCTGGGGGAGGGGGGGGGAGCATCCTTTTTTTTTTTTTATGATACACTTTGGGTTGCTAGGAAACCCTGCCAGCAGGAACACCATCCGAATCCCCCTCTGTGGCTACTTTAAACACAGAACAGGTGCTGGCGAGATGGCTCATCAGGGAGAGGCACTCGCTGCCAAGCCGAAACTCCCCGGTTCGAGCCCCCAGACCCCACGTGGTGGAAGGACAATCTTGACTGGTCCTCTGGCTTCCACGTGCGTGTGCCTGCACACATACAAATACGCGATGTAATTCAAATGTTAAGAACAGGGGCTGGAGAGATGGCTCAGAGGTTAAGAGCACTGGTTGCTCTTCCAGAGGTCCTGAGTTCAATTCCCAGCAATCACATGATGGCTCACAACCATCTACAATGAGATTTGGTGCCCTCTTCTGGCTTACACGCATACATTAAGGCAAGATACTATATACATAATAAATAAATAAATATAAAAAAACCAGAACTTTTGTTATCACTAAGACAGGTAAGTTTCTAGCACAGTGTGTGTGTGTGTGTGTGTGTGTGTGTGTGTGTGTGTGTGTGTGCGCGCGCACGCACGCGCTGTAGTACACCATACTGTAGTGTACTCATACCAAACTGCACGGTACCACTTAACAGTTTGGAGCGGGGCAGCTAGTTCTGGCTTCTGTATGGTTTGTGGAAAGCAAGCAGTATGCGCATGCTCAGCAGCCCTAGTTTACCACCCTGGCCCTTTTGTGCCAGGTGCAGCAAAAACCAGGACCCCAGAGGCCCTACGGCTCAGACCCTGCTGGGTTACAGCGGGCACTGCTGCCCTCTAGTGGGAAAGCAGGCTGGTTAGCCTCCAGCCAGGACTGGGTCCAGCCCGGATGACGTGGGGACCTCTTTCTTAGTTGGGGGGGAGGGGAGGAAGGCCGGAAGCTGCTCCAGGTTGACTAAAAGCAAAAGCAGCCCTTGGCCTCTGCACGGCAGAGTAAGTGCTCTGCAGTGTCACGGGTACCCTGGGTGTTCTCTTTCTCAACGAAACATCGCAATTTGATCCACTCCTGCCTTGCATGACATCACTCCAGACCCACATTCTAGCACCGTGCTCGCTCCGCTACAGACACGAACCAAAACCGAGCCAGGATTTTGTCAGAGGGGAACGAAATCCAGGCAAAGAAAACTCCCGATGAGCCCAGAAGCCCCTCGGGGGTTCTGCCTCCATCTGGTTCTTCCAAGCTGCCCAGACCCCCTCCTTTTCCGCCAGTCTCTCTTCCCCCTTTGGCAGGGCTGACCTTGGAACTTACCAAAGGCTTTGGCGACATCTCCTGGACATGTGCAGCCTCCATCCTTCAAAAGAAGAAAGCAGAGAATATCAGCAAGGTGGGACCAGGCCAGCGAGGAGGAAGCGGCCAGGAACTACCTCCCAGCCGCTGGCCCGACAGCCTGGAGGCTGGCTTTCCGGTGTTCTAAGTTACTCCCCTTTGCCCTGCACCTTCAGTCTCCCAACCCCATCCTTACTCTGACGGTCAAAGGCTGTCACCCCTGTCCGTCCATCCTCTGGGCTCAAGCACCTATGTCTGGGGAGGAGGACAAAGCATGCCAGACTGGTCACTGTCCTCTGCTAGACCATTGTATAACATGCCCAGCCACTCCACGGACCCTGCTCCTTCAAAGTCAGAAGCCCACCTCTCCCTCCCTGCCTGCGGAGGGCGAGATTCATTTAGTCTAAGTGCTAGGTGCCGAGAGAAGGGCATGGAGCCGGCTCCTTTATCTTCTCAGCTGCCTTGGGTCTCCAGTCCATCCTGTCCTTAAAAAAAAAAAAAAAGTGCTCACTGCTGGCATCCCACTCTGCCCACACAGCACAGGCTAGCTGGGTGGGCAGCGTGATTAAGCTGCAACCTCAGGCTGCAGTCACAGGTTCAAAGTTCCTGGGACACAGCGTTCAGGTTTCCCCAAATGCCCAGGCTGCTACTTGCTCTTCCCAGCAGAGCCTGGGTGATATAGAAAGAGGACTTCCTGAGTGCTGGGATTACAGGCTTGCACTACTCCAGCGTGCTCATCACTCTTTCTCTATCACCTAATTGGCCCCCAATTAGGAGGAGGATTCAAATCCTGCTGCTTAGCTAACCTTGCCGCTGCATGCCTGCGATCCCAGCACTCAGAAGCTGGAGGCAGGAGAGGATTCGGAGTTCCGGGCGTTTGCTCTCCATGTGTCCCTTGCTTATCCCACTCACTCAACTTTCTAGAGTTTTATGTTAGATTAAAAAAACAAAACAAACAAACAAAAACCAAACCTAGGAGCAGGACGAGCAGAAGTGTCAGTTATGCAAACCTGATGACCCAAAGGCCAAGTCTGATCGCCAGAACCCATGTATAAAAAACAACATGTGGCGTTGTGTGCCCATGAGCCCAGCGGGCATCTGTGATCCCAGCAGGCATCTGGGATCCCAGCATTCCTCTGATGAGAGGTGGAGACAAGGATCAGGCAGGGAAGCTTAAGAGGCAGCTAGCCTGGAGGGCACAGCACAGCAACAGCCACAGGAGACTGCTTCCACATGGTAGGAGAGAACCGACTCTCAAGGTGCCCTCTGACCTCCACACATGCTCTCGGATATAGAGACACACAGAATAAATACAAAGGAAAACCAGCTCTGTGCACAGGATTTCAAGCCATAATCAGATTATGTAAACTCATGCTTCTGTGAACGTAGGTCCCCAACAGTGTGACTTCAGAATGTTCTTTGCTCGCTCCCTAAGTAGCTTGGGACCACACGAGGATTTATCACGTGAGAGCCTCAGTATTGCAGAATGTGGTCAATGCTGCAGCCTGACTAGAAGCCCTGTGTTGCTGAGACCTCAAGAAATGCTTCAGGCTGGAGGTATGACTCAGCTGATAGGCACACTGCTCTTCCAGGGGACCTGGGTTCAAGTCTCAGCACCCACACAGTGATTTACAACTGTCTGTAAATCTGTCTGGAGGATCTGGTGCCCGCTTCTGGCTTCCACAGGCACACATGTGGCATACAGATACATGAAAGCCAAAAAAATTACCCAATAAAAACTTGTTTAAATTAAGAAAGAAAACAGCTGGTTTTCCAGTTGACCCAAAGTCTCGGTTAACGTGCTACCCACGGCCACAGAGAGAATACTGTATCGAAAGTGTTGTCCGTTCACGATGCTGGTGTGCCAGACTACAGGAGGTGCTGAATGAAATTTCACACGATTGGTTAAGACGACGGAATTGGCACTTTCTACAGTTTACAGGTAATGTCCAAGCACTGTCCAATGAATCCCATCATGCTCTAGTAAGACACACACACTCACACCTTCACACAGTGACAGTCAGCTGCTGAAAGACTGTGAAACAAAGTGGCCCTGGCCAGCTATGCAAAGCAGGAACTGACAAGTGTTGCCTGTTTTGTTTTTCGACATGGTTATTAGCACTATATTTAAGGACGAACGGCATCGTGGGATGCGAGTGATTTGGTTCATTAATTTCCAGCATGCCTCTTCTGCTTAAAAATAATTGCTCAGGGGCTGAAGGATGATGGCCCGGTTGGGAAGGCATTTGCCTCCTAACTGGGAGGTGCCAAGTTCATATACCCAGAACCTGTGTAAACCACTGGAGCTGCAGCACGCACCTCTAATCTCAGCAATGCCACAGATGAGGCCCGGAGACAGGAAACTCACCAGACAGCTAATCTGGCCTGTGTAGGAAAGTTCCGGGCCAATCAAACAAAAGATGGCAAGTACCTGAGGGTGACACTATGGCTGTCCTCTGACCCTCCATGCACACACGTGCACATTATGGCTCTACTCTCTGCAATACTGAGGCTCTCACGTGATAAATCCTCGTGTGGTCCCAAGCTACTTAGGGAGCGAGCAAAGAGCATTCTGAAGTCACACTGTTGGGGACCTACGTTCACAGAGGCATGAGTTTACATAATCTGATTATGGTTTGAAATCCTGTGCACAGAGCTGATTTTCCTTTGTATTTATTCTGTGTGTCTCTATATCCGAGAGCATGTGTGGAGGTCAGAGGGCACCTTGAGAGTCGGTTCTCTCCTACCATGTGGAAGCAGTCTCCTGTGGCTGTTGTTGTGCTGTGCCCTCCAGGCTAGCTGCCTCTTAAGCTTAGACAGCTATGATTTTCCCAACCAGCCACAAATAAAAATAAACAACAACAACAAAGATCTGTGCCTCTATTAAGCATGCACAGACTTTCCTGTGGTCCCCTACGTAATGCAGGGGAGCAACTGTTTACCTGGCATTTGCCCTGTATCAGGAAGTCTGGAGATGATTTAAACTATAAGGGAATGTGCATGGAAGTTATACCCCAATACTAGGCTGCTGTACACAAGGACTTGAGCAACTGTGGACTGCAATTTCTCACGGGACTGCTGGACTCCAGAAGGCCAAGGAGTAACTAGACACATCTAGCCATCCACCCACCCATCTCAGCTTCACGAGCAGGTGCCACGGTCCACCACAGGACGGGCCCTGTAGTGCGCAGCTCAAGGCACGTGACTATGGTCGTTCCCCAAGGTGGTGCTGTGAGGGGTGTGGATGG